GCATCGTCTCAAAAAGAGCCATCAGGTACCTCGGAGTCATGCTGGACACCCGGCTATCATTCAGAGAGCACCTACAGGAGACACACCGGAAGGCACACGGCGTCATTATGGCCGTATCCCGCATGATGCTGAATAATAGAGGACGGAAGTCGACGAGCAGGAGACTTCTCTTCAACGTAGCAAAGTCGTCAATACTATACGCCGCGCCGATATGGGCTCAGGCAACGAACACCAAAAGCTACACTGCCGATCAATGGGATAGACTCAATGCATTTTTCGTTTTTCTCTTCGATTCCCTCATTTACGGAGTAAGCTTTCGCTGAATTTTTTGATGTGTTTGTTAGAGCAGTAAAGGGGACAGAAGTAGGAGATAAGAGCGGGCTGCAGAAATTTTACAGTTATGATTTATTTCTATTTTGCTTTACCCTATGCCAAAAAATGAGCTTCTTAGGCGATCATTCGAATAGACTCAGAGGCTGCAATTTTAGTTACTGATAAGCTGTGCAAGGTAAAAGGTGCATTTAATTACCTCTTGCGACTTCCCATTATTTAAATACAAAATGGGTCGGGGCAAAGTTCTAACAGCGGCGGAAAAAGCAAAAATATTGGCATATATGGACAGCAACCTTACAACCAGGCAGATAGCCACAAAAATTTCCAGAAGCCAGACTGTTGTGTCTCATTTTTTGCGAAATCCATCAAATTATGGAAAAACGAGAAGGAACGTGTGAGTCGCTTCTAAAGACGCGACTCTACTTATACCCGTACTCAGTCAGTATTTACATTTTTGAGCATATGATTTTTTAGAATTTTAGAAAAAAAAATTTTACATTTTACATTTTTTTGCTACATGTGTTATCTACATCTACAATGTATATTTTACATCTAACATGTAGATTATAGATGTACCATTCAGATTCTACATCTTCTCCGCTAGGGGTTGCTCGCGCACTGAACGCGGCAGAGTGTGCGAGCGAGAAGGAAAATGAGTTGTGTTGTCGTTGGCGGGAGGGGGAGAGGAAGCAAATGAAAATTAATTTCTTCATTCTGGCTATAATTATGATCCGATCTGATTCAGATTCAGCAGTCTGGTAGATATGGGCATTCTCTACGATACTGCGTTTTTAGTTTTATCGTATCTTTAAAAATGTGCCTGCCACAGATTTTCGTTCTTTTTTGGGGCGGAAGGGGGCGGGGCGAAATTTTGAAATACACTTGTAGCAGTGGGATATCTCATGAGTCTGGAAACCAAATTTGGTTGCCCTAGCTCTTATAGTCTCTGAGATCTAGGCGCTCATCGAGACAGACAGACAGACAGACAGACAGACGGACAGACAGACATGGCTATATCGACTCGGCTATTGATGCTGATCAAGAATATATATACTTTATGGGGTCGGAAACGTTTCCTTCTCTGCGTTACACACATCCACTTTTACCACAAATCTAATATACCCCTTAACTCTTTTTTGAGTACGGGTATAAAAATAAAAACTCCTAATAGAAAAGCACTCAGGACTACCGAAACGCGAAGAATTTTGCGAAAAGCCTCAAATTCCACGTGCTCTGCGGCTCAAATTCGATCAAACTTGGGAGTTACAGCTGGTATAGCAACCGTGCGGCAAGTTATAAGGAACGCCAAACATCTAAAGAGATTAAAAACGAGAAGGAACGTGTGAGTCGCTTCTGGGGACGCGACTCTACTTTATACCCGTACTCAGTCAGTATATACATTTTTGAGCATGATTTTTTTGAATTTTAGAATTAAAAAAAAATTTTACATTTTACATTTTTTTGCTACATTTGTTATCTACATCTACATATACAATGTCTATTCTACACCTAACATGTAGATTTTACATGTTCCATTCATATTCTACATCTCCTCCGCTAGGGGTTGCTCGCGCACTGAACGCGGCAGAGTGTGCGAGCGAGAAGGAAAATGAGTTCCGTTGTCGTTTGTGGGAGGAGGGGGAGGGGAAGCAACTGAAAATTAATTTCTTCATTCTGGCTATAATTATGATCCGATCTAATTCAGATTCGGCAATCTGGTAGATATGGGCATTCTCTACGATACTGCGTTTTTAGTTTTATCGTATCTTCAAAACTGTGCCTGCCACAGATTTTCGTCCTTTGTGTGGGCGGAAGGGGGCGGGGCGAATTTTTGAAATACACTTGTAGCAGTGTGATATCACATGAGTCTGGAAACCAAATTTGGTTTCTCTAGCTCTTATAGTCTCTGAGATCCAGGCGCTCATCAAGACGGACGGACGGACAGACGGACAGACGGACGGACAGACGGACATGGCTATATAGACTCTGGTATTGATGCTGATCAAGAATATATATACTTTAAGGGGTCGGAAACGTTTCCTTCTCTGCGTTGCACACATCCACTTTTACCACAAATCTAATATACCCCTTAACTCTTTTTTGAGTACGGGTATAATAAAACGAGAAGGAACGTGTGAGTCGTTTCTGGGGACACGACTCTACTTATACCCGTACTCAGTCAGTATATACATTATTGAGCTTATGATTTTTTAGAATTTTAGAAAAAAAAAAAAAAAATTTTACATTTTACATTTTTTTGCTACATCTGCTATCTACATCACATATACAATGTCTATTCTACATCTAACATGTAGATTGTACATGTTCCATTCATATTCTACATCTCCTCCGCTAGGGGTTGCTCGCGCACTGAACGCGGCAGAGTGTGCGAGCGAGAAGGAAAATGAGTTCCGTTGTCTGAAACGGGAGGGGGAGGGGAAGCAACTGAAAATTAATTTCTTCATTCTGGCTATAATTATGATCCGATCTAATTCAGATTCGGCAATCTGGTAGATATGGGCATTCTCTACTATACTGCGTTTTTAGTTTTATCGTATCTCTAAAATTATGGCTGCCACAGATTTTCGTCCTTTGTGGGGGCGGGGCGAAATTCTGAAATACAGTTGTAGCAGTGTGATATCACATGAGTGTGGAAACCAAATTTGGTTGCCCTAGCTCCTTTAGTCTCTGAGATCCAGGCGCTCATCGAGACGGACAGACGGACGGACGGACAGACAGACATGGCTATATCGACTCGGCTATTGATGCTGATCAAGAATATATATATGTCGCATATTAACTTTTTAATTTAAATTAAATTTAATGATTTGTAACTTCCGTGTTCGGTGTGTCTTTAACCACGGTACTGTTTTTTTGTTCCTCTGCTACTTTCGTGGACTGGCAGTTCTTGTCTGACGTAGCCTGGCGTGGGCATGAAAGAGAGTACATCTGCAGTAAAGCAGATTAAGAAGGAGAGCAAAAAGAAGTACACTCAAGGCTTGAGTGTGTGTTGGCAAAATTCTTGCATGTGTGAGTGATGACTGGAAAAGAGAAGATCGCAATTAGAAAAGAACTGCGGAGGCAGTCAGTTTTTGGAGTGTGAAGCGAGAAGTCATGCCACGCGCCAGGAAACGTTTTGTCGACGAGGTGGCAGAAGGAGAGGATGAGGAAAACAATGAAGAGTATTATTGTAAAAATGACTCTACGACATATACTTTATGGGGTCGGAAACGTTTCCTTCTCTGCGTTACACACATCCACTTTTACCACAAATCTAATATACCCCTTAACTCTTTTTGAGTACGGGTATAATAAAAACGAGAAGGAACGTGTGAGTCGCTTCTGGGGACGCGACTCTACTTATACCCGTACTCAGTCAGTATATACATTTTTGAGCTTATGATTTTTAAGAATTTTAGAAAAAAAAAAAATTTTACATTTTACATTTTTTTGCTACATATGATATCTACATCTACATCTACAATGTCTATTCTACATCTAACATGTAGTTTGTACAAGTACCATTTAGATTCTACATCTCCTCCGCTAGGGGTTGCTCGCGCACTGAACGCGGCAGAATGTGCGAGCGAGAAGGAAAATGAGATGCGTTGTCGTGGTCGGGAGGGGGAGGGGAAGCAACTGAAAATTAATTTCTTCATTCTGGCTATAATTATGATCCGATCTGATTCAGATTCGGCAATCTGGTAGATATGGGCATTTTCTACGATACTGCGTTTTTAGTTTTATCGTATCTTTAAAACTGTGCCTGCCACAGATTTTCGTCCTTTGTGTGGGGCGGAAGGGGGCGGGGCGAAATTTTGAAATACACTTGTAGCAGTGTGATATCACATGAGTCTGGAAACCAAATTTGGTTTCGCTAGCTCTTATAGTCTCTGAGATCCAGGCGCTCATCAAGACGGACAGACGGACAGACGGACGGACAGACGGACATGGCTATATAGACTCGGCTATTGATGCTGATCAAGAATATATATACTTTATGGGGTCGGAAACGTTTCCTTCTCTGCGTTGCACACATCCACTTTTACCACAAATCTAATATACCCCTTAACTCTTTTTTGAGTACGGGTATAAAAAAACCACCGCTCACTGAAGCTCGTAAGCAGGCTCGCATGCCACGTACAATTGACCATGAGAAAAACATGAATTTTCTAGATTGAGGCCACAAATAGTCAAGGATTGGCCCTGTGATTTGTTGATCGTCATGGCGAAGGCAAGACGAATCGGGAATTGAATTCGTTTAAACTCAAAGGGCATATCCGTTGGGATCATCGGAATCCTTGGAATAAGAACTTCCTCATCTTTAAATTTTCCTTTAAGTATCGACGCGTTAATCACATAGCTCATCAGTTTTCTTATCACCAAACGCGTTCCATTACACAGTTTTGGTTGGTTTAAATTTCTAAGTTGGACAACAAATGTCTGACATGTAATAAACAAATCAGCATCTATTCAAATGATTAAGTATTCATTACACATATCGAGTTTTCATTGTTTTTAAGATGTATTCTGCTATTCGGGCTATTTTCCACGTTCATGAGTACTTTGATTTAAAAATTGAAATTTCATACGGAAAATTCTTGAGTCTATTCCATTGATCGGCAGTGTATATCAAGGGAATAGAGTCAAACTTTAGACTTGGAGCCATGCGGATCAGTGCGGCTTTTCGCACAGTTTCCACAGAGGCTATTCTGGTGAAAACCGGCATACCACCCGTCGAACTGGCAGCGATGGAAGCCCGGACAGACTACATGGAGAGGAAGGTCGCCATCACGCAAGAAGACGACAGAGCAGCCAGGAGCAGAGCGAGGTCTATATGCCTGGATAGATGGCAGGTTAGATGGGATAGAGCGGAGAATGGCCGCTGGACACACCGACTAATCCGCGACATAAAGGCGTGAATAGATAGGCGGCATGGGGAACTCACGTTTCCATTGACGCAGGTTCTGAGCGAACATGGGTGCTTTAAGTCGTACCTACATCGCTTTGGCCACGAGAAAGACGAACTATGCACCAGCTGTGGTGTGGAAGAAAACGCTGAGCATGTCCTCACCACATGCGTCAGATTTTCAGAATCCCGCGGACGAGCAGAGGGCACTCTAGGGGTGCCTATCACAGTAGAAGCCTGGTTCCAGCTATACTGGACGGCGATTTGCAGCCTTGCGACGGAGATCGCGAAAGAGCTTAGACGTCTGGAAAGCATCAGAAACGAGCAGCCGTAATAGGCTAGCCAGCCTTGTAAAGCAATGCTTCACGGCAGTCCCGCAAGTCTGGTTTATATATACATATTAATTATACCTTTATTCTTTACCGTATATTTTTATATTTATATGTATATATCCTTAGGTTACTACTATTATGAATACAAAAAAAAAAAAACGAGAAGGGACGTGTGAGTCGTTTCTGGGGACACGACTCTACTTATACCCGTACTCAGTCAGTATATACATTATTGAGCTTATGATTTTTTAGAATTTTAGAAAAAAATTTTACATATTACATTTTTTTGCTACATCTGCTATCTACATCTACATATACAATGTCTATTCTACATCTAACATGTAGATTGTACATGTTCCATTCATATTCTACATCTCCTCCGCTAGGGTTGCTCGCGCACTGAACGCGGCAGAGTGTGCAGCGAGAAGGAAAATGAGTTGCGTTGTCTGGAACGGGAGGGGGAGGGGAAGCAACTGAAAATTAATTTCTTCATTTTGGCTATAATTATGATCCGATCTGATTCAAATTTGGCAGTCTGGTAGATATGGACATTCTCTACGATACTGCGTTTTTAGTTTTATCGTATCTTTAAAATTGTGCCTGCCACAGATTTTCGTCCTTTGTGGGGGCGGAAGGAGGCGGGGCGAAATTTTGAAATACACTTGTAGCAGTGGGATATCACATGAGTCTGGAAACCAAATTTGGTTGCCCTAGCTCTTATAGTCTCTGAGATCTAGGCGCTCAACAAGACAGACAGACAGACAGACGGACAGACGGACAGACAGACATGGCTATATCGACTCGGCTATTGATGCTGATCAAGAATATATATACTTTATGGGGTCGGAAACGTTTCCTTCTCTGCGTTACACACATCCACTTTTACCACAAATCTAATATACCCCTTAACTCTTTTTTGAGTACGGGTATAAAAACACTCGCGTAATGCGACAATCATTTTGTTTCGTTTTCATTTTCGTTTTCGCTTACCATTTCGTTTTTTAATGTTTATCTGGCATCTGCGATTCGCCTCTGTGGGGGCCAACGCCCCGTGGGATGTCCCATTCAGTGCCATTTTGTGTTTGTTTATTTTCTTTTATTCCAGGAGCCAATGCCTAGAAATGGAAACGGCAATGGAGGAGTTTCCGTCGCCGTTGCCAGTCACGCTTTTTATACCCGTACTCAAAAAAGAGTTAAGGGGTATATTAGATTTGTGGTAAAAGTGGATGTGTGTAACGCAGAGAAGGAAACGTTTCCGACCCCATAAAGTATATATATTCTTGATCAGCATCAATAGCCGAGTCGATATAGCCAAATCTGTCTGTCCGTCTGTCTGTCTTGTTGAGCGCCTAGATCTCAGAGACTATAAGAGCTAGGGCAACCAAATTTGGTTTCCAGACTTATGTGATATCCCACTGCTACAAGTGTATTTCAAAATTTCGGCCCGCCCCCTTCCGCCCCACAAAAGACGAAAATCTGTAGCAGGCAAATTTCTAAAGATACGATAAAACTAAAAACGCAGTATCGTAGAGAATGACCATATCTACCAGACTGCCGAATCTGAATCAGATCGGATCATAATTATAGCCAGAATGAAGAAATTAATTTTCAGTTGCTTCCCCCCCCCTCCTCCAACAAACGACAACGCAACTCATTTTCCCTCTCGCTCGCACACTCTGCCGTGTTCAGTGCGCGAGCAACCCTAGCGGAGGAGATGTAGAATATGAATGGGACATGTACAATCTACATGTTAGATGTAGAATAGACATTGTATATGTAGATGTAGATAGCAGATGTAGCAAAAAATGTAAAATGTAAAATTTTTTTTTTTTCTAAAATTCTAAAAAATCATAAGCTCAATAATGTATATACTGACTGAGTACGGGTATAAGTAGAGTCGTGTCCCCAGAAACGACTCACACGTTCCTTCTCGTTATCTCTCCTTTTTTGTGAAATTAGAATGCAAAATCCAACAGTCCGTCCGCCCACACAACCGCACACAAACACACACACTACACACACACACACTCGTTCCACACCTCGTTATGCCTTCTCCTTCCTCTGGCTTTCCTTTCCTTTCCCTTCCCTTCACGAACCTTCCTCTCATTATACCCGTACTCAAAAAAGAGTTAAGGGGTATATAAGATTTGTGGTAAAAGTGGATGTGTGTAACGCAGAGAAGGAAACGTTTCCGACCCCATAAAGTATATATATTCTTGATCAGCATCAATAGCCGAGTCGATAGAGCCATGTCTGTCTGTTCGTCTGTCCGTCTGTCCGTCTTGTTTGACGCCTGGATCTCAAAGACTATAAGAGCTAGCGCAACCAAATTTGGTTTCCAGACTCATGTGATATCCCACTGCTACAAGTGTATTTCAAAATTTCGAACACTGCAGAGTACTTGGAAACACTGGATGTTCAGTAGATTGTTGTCACCCAACGAACGGACGTGTAGAATTAATATTTTTAATATCGACGCCATCCTGCTATTACATAATTACACGGAAACACTTCAAATAAACAGTCGAGAAGCAATGGCAGTCAGACCAAAATTCCAGGCTCGTATTTACTTACATTATTTCAACGCATAATCAATAAAACCAATCGGCAGAGTTCCTCGATTCTAGCAATGGATTCTAAGTAGCCCACAGTTTTTTCTTTTTATTGCCTTTTCAAGCTTCAACTGGCGCTGGGCTGGGACTGGGGACTGTGGACTGGGACTCTCCTTTAACTCCTGCTGGTAGACCACCCATTACTCCTACTTAGAGGGGGATTAGCATTTTCCCAACACTCAGCAGCAGATCGAAAATGCCGCATTGTGTTTTAATTAACTTTCGAAACTCTCGCCCACCCACAGATAAACATTGCTGTTGTTTCTGTGTGCTGTGTGTTCCTTGCTACTCGTATATACATATGTATGTATATTCCTCCCTGCTGAACCCTTTGCTGCCACTGTTGTTGACCAAAATTCGTTTTATTTCGTATATGTCCTGTGCGCCGAAATTGCAAATGACATTTACATTCATATCTGTGTACGGTATGTAAGCCACATGTCCATTTCAACTTATGATAACTGCACAGTAAAGATCCTGGGACGGGCTGCTTGTGGGTGGGTTACCTACGACAGTAAATAGGGATAATGCCAGCATGTGAACCGAAATTTAATTAGATAGATCCAACAGTGAATGCCATGACCCTGCACTGAGCTGCTGCTGCTGCTGTTGCAGTTTCAGCTCAATTCTCAGCTCTGCCACAGAAACTTGGCCACAGATGACTGCATTTAGCATGGGTCAGCTACTGCCAGAATATTCCAGGCCCGAATGAATATTAAACGACTTCCTAATGATGAATAAAATTAGCATCGAATAAATTACGAAATATGCGTAATCTTGTAATGAACATGAAACGCATTAATTAAAGGGAGAAAGAAGTGAGGCAGATTACAGTCACAGCTACAGGCAAACTTTTTGGTAGCAAAGTGCTAAATGGACTGCACTCAAAGTTACTTGATGATACAGCTGATAAGAGGCAGATGTTGCTGGAAATGCACTAACAGGGTATACAATGCACTCTAAATTAATATATTTTGTACTCTTTGACAGCTTTGGGCAATATTTAATACATATGTACATGATTTAAGATTTAAGAGGGCGAAAGAGAGATGATTTACAGTGGGCAGTGCAAATAATAAACAATGAAGATGATTTATGTTAGGCTGCTACTCTGACTAATTATATATTATATTATATTGTGGAATTTGGGACATTGTTCTGTGTGTCTTTGGAGAGTAAAATGTCAAAAGAATATTGGTCTATAAGGCTGCTTCTCACGAAGCTCTTGCTCTGCTTGAAGAATGCTCAAAATGGACTCGTTGTCGGTCACATCGCAGCAAGAGTTCCCATCATAATCGAGCAGATCGTGTCGGGGATTGTACTGCAGCAGAGCACGCACTGCCTCCAGGTGCCCGTTGATGGGGCTCAACTTCTTCACTTTGTGGATGAAATTCCGCTGGGCAGCTGCAGAGGACCGGCGGCCCAAGCTCTTCCAGGCACACCACTTCTTATGTGCCTCCAGATCATCTAAGGGGGGACAGGGCATCCGGCAAGACCCCACAGTTGCCATTTGATAAAAGCCATACAATTCCATGCGATTCGGCTCGCTGTACTCCAGCTCTTTTCATATCAAATAGTTGGCAGCCACATCAAAGTCTTTGTCGCTTTGCTGCTGCTGCCGCTGCTGCTTCCATTTCGCGACGATGTTACCCATTTTGGAGTTGATTTTGGTGGTCTTCTCTCACCGGTCCTTAGTTTGGATCCGTGTAGATTTTGATCAATCCTAAATAAATATATTCCTCGCCTACTACTACGCCTACATGGGGGGAATGTGGTCTACGAATTCGTTTTTTAGGTTTACAAGTAGGCTTTGGATATTTGTATAGTCAACCACAGCTCTCATTCCCCCACACAACAGTTATTCAACAAAACTAAACCAAACAGTCAACAGTTCCACAAAAAAACCAAACAAAATAAAAGTAAAATTATTCTTAGTTTTTCCGATTTTTCGACTGATAAAATGCCTGAACGACGACACCACCACCACGGCGAGGCCTGGGAACGCCGCGAACGCGAGAACAACAACTATTCCGAGCACTGCTGGGAGAGCGCGGAAAACCAATTCGATTCACTGTCACAGACAGAGGCTACCTTCAGCCTTGGCTATTGGCTGCAGGTATTTGGTATGTTCCTGGCCACACTGGCAGTGGGCTGGATGCTGTACAGTGTCGTCGCCGAGAAGGTGGTCGTTCCACCAACAGTGGAAGAACCTGGCAAGATCATCCGTCAACTGGCAGGATGCGCCGAGGGTGACAGGTCTTGGTGCGATTCTGACTTTGCCGCCGCAGCTGCGGTGGCAACAGCCGAGGAGAAGGCATCCCGCTGCTACTTTTGTCATCAGCCAAATTACATTAAGGAGAGCATCCAGCTGATTGGCAACCAGGTGGTCG